GAGTGTCTAATGAATTTTATTTGATAAAAACAGTATGAACTCACAATTCAAATATTTCTGGAAATCCCGCCAAAAAATTTGTACATCCCATTTCTCCACTCGCGCATACCTGTCAATGAACAAAAGACTCTTTGAGTGTTAAAAACCCCTGCAATTGCCTAAAAATGTCTCAATACTCGGAAAAATAGGACTAGAAGGAAAAACAAGTGAAAATGTTCGATTAAATTGTCAAGGATCTTTATCAAAATTATCAAAAAAATGGCCAACAGAGATCACAGCATCTCCAATGCTCGTGTCACAGCAGACGAACACAGTGTCGAGGTTAGAATTATTTATTATTTTTATAACATTCAAGAGAACAAACTCCAAATAAAAAACTGTCCCCAATTTTCTCTGAATGAATTAAAATATTTTTTTAACCCGCCAGCCTAAAAAAAAAAATTCTTTCCCAATTAAAAAAATGATAAATAATTATAAATTTCCCCATTTTTCATTTTTTTTTTCTGGTATCTAAAACAATTCTAGTATTTCTAATGCACGTGAAAAAATAAAACGAAATCATGAGAGCCTTTTAGATAATGCAAATAAAAATTTTGTTTTTTATTATTTCAGTCATTGGCTGAGGTATTTAGATGCTTCATTTGCATGGAAAAATTGAGGGACGCACATTTGTGTCCACACTGCAGTAAATTATGCTGCTACACATGCATTAGGAGATGGTTAACAGAACAGAGATCGCAGTGTCCACACTGTCGTGCATCTTTGCACTTGCACGAATTAGTAAATTGTCGGTGGGTGGAGGAGGTCACCCAGCAATTGGATACACTCCAAGCCACTGGATTAACGAATCCAAGATTCGATGAGTCACGAGACAGGTGACGAGAGATTGAGATAAATAAAGATCTGGGGAATTCAACGAATCGCCAATCTAATCAATTAATTCATTTAAAAAATTGCAATCTGTCTGTAATTATGATAAATCTCTATTTATAAAATGTAAATTTGTACTTTTAGGTGTTCAGTTCACAGAGAAAAATTATCAGTTTATTGCTGGACCTGTGGACGATGTATCTGTCATCAATGTGCCCTCTGGGGTGGAACCCACTCTGGACACACATTCAAACCCCTCGAGGAAGTTTATGAGCAGCATGTGACGCAGATAAGTGGAGAAGTTGGTCAATTGAAGAGAAGACTCATGGAGCTAGTCAGTTTAGTTCAAGAAGTTGAACGAAATGTTGAGTGCGTTCGAGCTGCTAAAGACGAGAGAGTTCGTGAGATAAGAAATGCAGTTGAACTTATGATAGCTCGATTGGATTCACAGCTCAAGGCCAAACTACTCACCCTGATGGGCCAAAAAAATTCATTAACATTGGAGTCAGAGCAGCTCGAGGCTCTCCTCCAAGAGATTGAGCATCAACTACACACGTGCACAAGGTCTGAGCTAATCGTCAAGAGCTCCGAATTATCTAGGATGATTCATCAGGTCAGGAAGAAGCCAATGACCAGTTTCGTAACAGCTCCGGTGCCAGCTGATTTTCACAGTGAAATTGTTCCTGGTTACGACTCAGCGACATTTGTCATGCAAAATTTTACGCAATTGCAACTCAAAGCTGATCCCGTTTACTCCGCGCCACTTCATGTCAATGGCCTATGCTGGAGGCTCAAAGTTTATCCAGATGGAAATGGCGTTGTCCGGGGCAATTATCTCTCTGTTTTTTTGGAACTCAGTGCTGGACTTCCTGAAACTTCCAAGTGAGCTTTTTCTTCATTCGTCTATTTATCAGCAAAATCGAGCGATTGAAATTTCTTTGTTGAATTTTTTTACGTGCATTTTAAAAATAGTTCTACCTGGTATGCCACTAGGAATTTTGGGATGTGGTGTAAGTAGAAAGCTTGGGATATTTCCAGTGCGGTAAGCCACTTGGCAAGCCATTTCTTCTGATAGAAAATGGGAATCCGCAGCTTGACAACCATCCGATAATAAAATCAGTCGCCAAGAAGATTTTTTCATGAAAAATATTTTCTATTTTTCAATGATACTATGTAAAATATTTAACACCACATCGTCCTCGAAATATTTGTTAGAGTAATGCAGTGTATGTAGGCTTCAATGATTTATTTATGAAAATTATGCCAAATTTTTTGTCTCAGGTACGAATATAGAGTGGAAATGATTCACCAAGGCTCGAGAGACACATCCAAGAACATCGTACGAGAATTCGCCTCGGATTTTGAGATCGGTGAATGTTGGGGTTACAATAGATTCTTCAGGCTCGATCTTCTCGCCACTGAGGGATATTTGAATACTGATCTCGATACTTTAATTCTGAGATTCCAAGTTCGGCCTCCAACATTTTATCAACGCTGCAGAGATCAGCAGTGGTACATAAGTCAATTAGTTACTGTACAGAATCAATATGCAACGCAGATTAATGATTTGAAAGAGAGGCTGGCCATCGAAATTTCTCGAAATACAGTGACAGCTACTCGGGGTGCTGGTGTCACAACCCCATCCCATCAACCCCAGACTCAAGAGGGAGTTGATAATGATAGCAATGAGATTATTCACTCGACGGATGCATTGACAGAAAATTTCTACAGCTCTCCGAGGGGCTCTAGGTCTATTGAGAGTGTTCTCAATGGCATAACGCAGTCTGAAATTACAACCCCGAATGGCCTGAGGAGGCAACACTGCCAGGGGGATAATTTATCCCTCACTCTACCTCAAAGTATCAACGTCTGCTCACCCAAGTCTGATGTTTCAATCGATCAAAATTCACCAGTTGTTTCTAATCCTTCAAACAAGTCACAAAATGAAAATTCTCTATTATTCGTACAAACTTTGCGGCAACATCTGTCCTCTAGCTCCAGTAGTGAAAGTGGCGTAAGTGTTTAAATAATCATTTCAATAATTATTTCATTTATAAAGTACGATTTGCTATTTATTATCGATTTATTTTATCTCTAGGAAATTAGCGAACACGATATTTACCTTGAAGATTGTGAAAACGAGGAGTTAAATCTTGGGCTGATGGACGAAAATTTTAACGATGAGAATGATGTGGACGAGTCGATGACAGGTAATTTTATTTCCCAGCGTTAGTCTCACTGTTTAACTCATTGAGATTAAATTTTTAATTCCTCAGATGATCCTAAACCTGTTAAAATCATGAAGATAGAAGAATCATTTCATTCCTGATTCCAAAATTCGAAATCCCCTAGAAAAAAAAAAGGACCTATTCGTTAATTAAAATAGCAAAGGAAAAGTCAAAGGAACTCAGAAATTTTTTGATTTCTGGTGCTCAAGGGACAAGCAATAAAAATTACCGCAACATGATTCCCAGATTTTTCAAGGATGCTTTATTGATTTTTCAGGTGAAAACGATGTAGAAGTAGCTGAATCGCTGAAGCCCTGGCACAAAAGTCCCCTGAAGTCTCTCCCAGAGGATGGAGCGAGGGCCCTGGACACACGAAAATTTTCGTCTGATCCCCTCGAAGATGAGATAATGCTGTTGCATCTGTTTGAAATGCAAGACAGGAACTCAGGCTCGTGTCTTCTCTGTTATAAGCACCACTCCGAGGACAAATACAACGAAATGCTTGATGGATCCCCATCCCAGGCGTCATTGAAATCCCCACACATCCCTGGAGGCCACTGTCCCAGAGGTCCCACCAGGAATGACAATATTGGAGCTTCCAGCAGTGAAAAGCCATTTGCAGATAAAAAACATCGAGACATGATAGTGAGACTCTTTCAGAGTCATTCGTCCCCCAATCTCAGGTGCTCTGATGGTCAGGTTGGGCCAGAGTGTCTTCCTGGAGATGTCCTCCGAGGTCTGAGGATCGAGGAGAAAGGGGTGGAACGTGACTGTGAGGAGAATATTGGAAATTCCAGTGAAAGGGAAATTAGTCTCTCTGGACTGGAGATTAATCCTGGAGAATCAGGGAGGGACAGGATTGATGAAACAATGGGGAAGAAGGTTCTCGATTTTGAACAGCTACTGGAGAGTTTTCGACTGTCTCCAACGCAACAGAAAGATGCTGCTGTCTGTATTGCCAAGTTGAAGAGAAATTTGTGGTTGGAAGGAGACACAAATCCTTCAACGTCCCGTAGATCTCTGCAAAGTGCAATTGCCTCGTCCTCGTGTTCAAAATCTCCAATTGAATTAGCCACTGATGTTGTGAATTTTAGTTGGGTTCCACCGCCATTTCAAAGGAAAAATGAACAGAGGAGGAGCTTGAGAAATAGTCAAGGATCAACGAAACAGAGTGAAAATGAGATTCAAAATGCATCTGATAAATCTGAGGAGAGAAAATGAATTTATCGCAGATAGTTAAGGGAAAATGACGAAATTACAATCGAACTTATCAAATACTCCTAATTCTCTCAATGTACCAAAACAGTATTTTGTTAAGGAATTCATGCGTGATCTCTTTATTTTAAAAATGTTTAATTTGGTATTATATATCATTTCAGTCATTAAAAATGTACTTCGACGGTAGGAACAAAGTTCTAGACTATAGATCTGAAATTCACGAGTTAGTATTGCAATTTATTCCCAATTTCCAGGAAATAATGTTGATTAAAATTAATTATTGGGCCAAAAATATTAATCAGAGCCATCATTATATTGAATATTCAACGTGAAATGCTTTCCTTATTTATTATTTAACCTGAAAAATCTCAAACGTTAATAAATTAGAAAATACGATGAAAGTATCTGAGAAAAAATACATGTCAATTTTTTTTTTTTCATTTAATTCTTTTCTTTTTTTATAATTAAACATATTGATGAATTTTCTAAGTTATTTCAATAAATTCACAACTGCATTATTGATTACATGTTGCGTACAATTATTTTTAATTCAACTTCCATGCAGAAATGATTGTTTCACTTCTATTTACATGTTCTGTCATTTCAAATGGATTTCGCTCGTGTTCTGAGTTGATGATTAAAAATAAGTATCCAGAAGATCTATTTACAATGAGCAGACTAGTTGTCTCGAACGATCAATATTGTAATAATATTTATTGTTAGCATTATGCAATGTAGAGAGTTCTAGTAAATGTTAAATAATATAAATATATGTCTCTTCTCATCATTGTCGATTTTCAAGTGTATAGTATCGATGGAGGAAAAATCTTGCAATTAATATAATATTTCTGACCACTCACTGAATTATTTATACTCAGCATTCGATCATTTGATCATTGATGACATTTTGGGATTTTAATTCTAAATGTTTCACGGAAATTCAATCGATGGTATATTTAAAAAAATTTCCCTTTCAATTCTAATCATAAATCATCTTTACGGGACGACGCACTCTCACTGTTGAATCCCTAGGAGCTCGTCCCTGACTTTTCCATCATCTGGATATTCTCTCTCCTTTTCCTCATTCGGCAGATAATAAGCAACACAAAATTTATAAAAATACCTTCCAACCTCGTCGTGATTAACCCACCTCGGTGATGGTGCTACAATTAAATTCTCCTGAGCTGCATATCGTGAAGATCCATCGTCGACAAATAAATAATAAAATGGTTGATTAGCTCCATCATTCAACTCGTCAATTCCCATTTCATTCATCCATTCGGGTGATGCCTCACATTTTTTATCCCATCCAGTGATAACACAAGAGTACTCATAAGTCCTGTGCTTCATTATCATGCCAATAGCGTACTTCACCTCGGGTGTACGTATTTTCGGGCTGAGATCTTCCTCTGGAATAACTTTCATATGTTTTTCGTAATCATGGAGCATCTGGAGAATGTGGGTCGCCTGTCCACGTGAAGTTAATTCAAGATTTTTCTGTATATCATTCAACACTTGAACGAGCTCCATTAAATCCATCTGATGAAGAATATAAAATCGTGCTAGATGGAGAATTGTTGACGTATCGTAAGGTCGGACTAAGTGGAGAAGCTCCAGAGCAGAACGCAGACGTGCAGCTCGACCATTCAAATGTGTTCTCTGTCTGCCAGCGACTTCGAGATTATTTGCCATTCTCTGGACTACCTCCACTGCTGTAGCTCCATTATGAACATTATATTTTTCAATTGGACATTTTGATACTCCACCTATTCTCGGACAACTGTTCTTCGTCAGGAACTGTCCTCCATTGAATACATCGATGTAGAAACTCTCGCATTCCTCAGACTCTGGTACATTATATTTCTCTTTCCAGCGAAGAAGAAAGTGAGCGGGAAATGATACAGCCTCACAACGCACACCTAATCGTCTAGCTGCACTCTCAAATACTATAGCAAGTGTTATAGGAATTCCTCTCCTGTTCTCTAAAACTCGATCGACGAATGAATTTTCAGAGGAATAATACATCTCGCTGTTTCCATGGAACATCATTCTATCGAACATTACCTCGCAGAGGGCAGTCATTACTTGTCTGGTATCACCAGAGCTCCACTGATTATCCGATATATTTTTTTCCCTCCACTCGCTCAATGTTTCTGGTGATTGAGAGAGAATTGGGTGGGATGGGTATTTCTCCTTGATCAATTGCTTCGTGTAGTCGGCAATATTATCTAACATCGAGGCAACGTATTTGTATGAAACACGTCTCTCAGGTTGACTCCATTGTGATACAAGGACAGCCCCTTTCTCCAGAGTTTGATACTCCACTGGAAGATTTAGGAATTTTGACCACTCGTCAGCCAGAAAACATTGTCTCAGATATCTTATCACTTTGTAGGCGTAATGCTTGTGGGTCAGGTTGCATTCCCTAGATTTTTATTGAAACTATTTTATTATTTATCTCAGGGAATTGAATTTATTAATATCCTTTGATATTGAGTTAATAGAACTTTAAGATTGACTCATTTAAATCAAGTGTTTCCGGGAACAAATGTTTTTTTTATAATTAAAATAATGAAACACTTACAGGACTGGACGTTCTACCAATTGGATAAGCTCGTCGATGAGGAAGTGATAAGCCATTGGATGTGCCCCCAATTCAGAACGAAAAAGTGGTAGAAAATTCTTCAAACCGCTGTGAGAAATCTCTTGCTTTTTGTAGTGGTTTGCAGACATTTCTGATAATTCCTCCATCAATTTTTTTCGGCTCTCCAATGAACTGTGGAATTCCTCCATCCAATCTGACACTTTGTACTCGTCTTTGTCCATTTTCTCGTAGATTTCTCTCAAATTTGGCCACCTAAAAATATAAACATCCAAAATCCACATCTGGAATTAATTTTTCTGTTGAAAAATTCCCGAATATTTATTTATTACTCATTTCTAGAGGAGAATTACGTTTTTATCATCCGTATTCTTTATAAATAATCGGATAATTCGAGTATATGAATGATTTTTATTATCAAATTAGTCATTGAGCCCCTGATATTTTCGCTAATCATCACTATTTACTGATACGCAGTTAATGTATTATTAATCACATGCCAATTGATTGTCAACTCTTGTATTCATCGAATGAGTCATTTTAAGACAATGTAAAATATAAAATAAAATTTAATCTCTCGATACTGAATTGAACCGATTATTTGTTTTTTTCGGAAAAAATTATTTGAAATAAATATTTTGACATTTCCCAAAAAACTTTGAAGGTTATGACAATAAAAAAAAATCCTCACCTCTGAAGAAATTTAGTCCTCCAAAGTTTATTACTATTTGTCACAGATCTATACACATGTTTGCAAGTCATTGCAAAATTCATGACATCTTTGATTTTAATATTATCACTCTCGAGAATGTACTCAATAACTTCACAAGGTAAGAATGATATCAATACGTCGACAGCCATTTTACTATCTTGGTTTATCAATTTATTCTGGTGTGAAAATCAAGGAATGGCTTTTGACACTATTAGAAAAGCAAGAGTTATGATTTTTCACAGTGTGATACTGATAATTTCCGCGGAAATCCCCCTCGGAGGGAAAAAAATCTCGACTTGTTTACATGAGCAAAAAACCTGACAACTCACAAATAAAAAATCACAAAACAATATTTAAAAATGGCCGATGGAACAGTGGCGCCATCCACCGGGAATTTCGTTTAATAATAATAATTCCTGTATTATCAATGAAAGGAACATGAAAATGAAAATTAATTTAATGAACATTAAAAAATGATTTTCCAGTTAAATCAAGTTATTTAATTCATCTAGGCAGAAAATATCAATTCTCACGAAAAATATTTATCGAAAATTCTACCTTATCTGTTTTTTTTTATTTAACAATTTGTCTGGTGGACTCTAGGTTAATCCCTAAATATCTGCAGGAGCTGAATCATTTGAATTAGTTGGGTTTATCATTAAGTTAACAAAAAAATAGAGAAGAGATTAGTTCCAATTTATCATTTACCGAGAATAGATAAAACATCTTGAATGGAAGAACTTCGCACGGAACGACGCACGCCGAGGGAGTATTTCTGGGATTCCCCAAAATCGCTGGTGCTCAACTATTCTTCTGGCAGGCTTGAACCCGAGTCATAAATATGACAACAGAATGATTATTTCCAGGCCCTAAAGAACACCGAAACTATGTCCAAGCGTGCACCGACGTGTATTGACAAGTTTCGACTTGTTGATAATGAACTTTGATCTCTTGAGAGCTCGTCTTGAATATTTTCAGAAATAAATTAATAGAATTGTAACCTAGCAATTAAAGCATTGTAATAAAAAAGGAAATATTTAATGGAAATTAATATTTCTTCTAGAAAATATGTATTCATTGACATTTGGTTTTGACAGGAGAAATTTTCCTCGAATTCTGTCAAGAGTGGGGGAATGACGCTCACCGCCCCCCTCCTTCCCCGCCCCTACTTTTCCAAGAAAAATTTTCCCGCCATTTCCCTAGCCGACGGTGTGCCGACGCGTCCTTTTCCCGAAGAACATTTTTGTGTATTTTCTCATCAAATCCAAATTCATGAATTCCCAATGAAATAATGAACTCTTTAATAAATGCGCTCGTGATCACAGACAGAGCTGAAAATTAAAATTAATATTTCGTAATCAATATAATCATCCGATAATTCACTTCATTAAGATCTATTTTGCGTGGATCACTCGCAAATGTATATTCCCGTTGAAATAATGAACTCTCTGACGAGTGCGCTCGTGATCACAGACAGAGCTGAAAATTAAAATTAATATTTCATAATCAATATAATCATCCGATAATTCACTGCATTAAGATCCATTTTGCGTGGATCACCCGCAAATGTATATTCAGCAAATCGACATTTCAACTTAGTAACAGAAATCCGTGAGCGTTTGCACCTTTTCCGAATAATTCCGAAGAAATTGCAATGAATTCGAAGGTCCCAGTGACACGTGGCGTGTTCATGAATTCTGGGAATTACTCATTTCTCCGAAAACAACGATGATGCCCTTTTAACGCCCTCAATCAGTAGGTGTGCAAATTATGATATTGCAACACTGTAATGGTCATAAACGGCCCATTCAGGTAGGAGCGGGCCCTACCCCCGCCTACCCCCACTCCCAAGGCCACAGGTCTTAGGGGCCAAAGTTCTAAGGGTTAACGAAAAATTAGTCACTCGAGTGTCAATTCTCAGTGTAATCACTCGTTTTTGAAAGTGCTCCGCTAAAAGTGGTCAATTTTTCAAGTGTTATTTACCTGTGATAATTTGGATAATTCAACATGGCAATGATGACGGGACTACCGTGTGCTCCAGTGACTACTGAGGTATGTATTCTGTAATTCAATCGTCAATTCGTCTGATGAATGTCATTGACATCTTGGAGGTGATCATCCAAGACGACGCCGAATCATCATCCTGATATTGTTCTGTTCTTCCAGACTCTGGCGATGTTCGAGGACAATATGGACATCTTGGCTCACTTCGAACTGGTCTCCATGCCAGGACTGCTGCTGCCGGATGACATTCTCAACCTGGATCCTGATATTTCTGACGTGAATGGTGCCGAATCTTTCAACAGACTCTTCGATTCCTGCCTAGACAGGATGGCGTCATACACGTCAGTCCAAGCAGTCTCAGCACAACCACCAGCACTCGATGTGTCATCATCTCCTGAAGCAATGGAGATACCCTCGGCGGAGGTTTCGAGTGGCACCTTTTTGGCACCACCTCCAAGTGTCAAGGTCGATACGGAGGACTTCTGGAAGAAGCCGGACACCTTCGACTGCAGCCACTGCTCCAAGATATTGAGCAGATCTTTCTGGCGTCGGCATCATGTCTCTCATGTCAATGGTAGACTCAAGTGCAAAAGGTGTGGATATATCGCCATCAGTTACAGTGGCATCAGGAGACACAACGAGTATTACCACGGCGCCAAGATGAAGCGTCATGTCTTCTTCGACAGCTGCTAAGCAGAAGAGATTAGCTTGTGTGGGTGATTCTGTACATATGTGGGTCCCATGGAAATTTGCGTACTAGTGGATTTTTTTATTTTTTATACAAAACCTGTGAAGTGCAAGTCAAGACTTTTAAACAACGTACTGTATGGTTTCTGTCAAGGAACTGTCAAGTCTTTCTGTTGAAATGCAAAGAATTCATTTTGTTTAAACAAATGTACTATAGTAATATGTAATATTTACTGCTAGTCTATATTCAGTACTAATTCTACCACAAACCATGACAAATGGAATAAAATAGAAAAATCTATTGAATTCCAGTCTTAATTTGTTAATAAATTTGATGTAAAATTTTATTACACCTGATGATTTACAATAAACAATCTATTTTAACTTAAACATTGTGCCGTCTTACAATTATTTATATTTTTCCTATCCCATAATTAGTTTTTAGTTAACAAATTCGGATTTTTATTCTTCCGTAAATTTATGAAATTGATAATTTCAAATTCTTCGTCCGGACTCAATCCATTGGAGACAGGATTTCATCCAAACGCCGGTAATGCCTGGAGCTGTAACAAATAAAAATAAGAAATAATACAATTAAATAATAAATTGGATTGGAATAATAAAAAAATGTTTACGTGATTGGTACGCAGGCATTCCATAATCGCAAAGGCAGTCTCACATTCGTTGGTTCCTCCTGTGAAAAATAATTAAGATTGATCACCCGCATTCAATTTTTTAACCCAAGAATAAATTATTCCATCCATTTGTTAAAAATTCCCTTGATAATTATTAATCAATTAAATATTTTACAACAGAAAGAGATTTAATTGATTGATAATTGATTTCGTCCACTCGTGCTCTCCTAATTATTTTCTAGTTCTAGTAAAACTAGAAATTCTAGTTTTCATTGCCCTCGATTATCAAACAACAATGATTAATTATTAATTATTAATCAAGCTCGATTTACTCTGGTCGAAACACTGATCGATTGCTGCGATCATCTGATCTCGTTTGGGTTCGTTCAGTGGTATCTTAGCAGCTGCTGCATTTTTATCAACATTACCCCCACCTGACATCTGAAAATATAATAATTATTGTATTGATTACGATTATAATGTTATACTGGGAGTTTTTTAAATAATTAAAGTTCCGGATTTTGGAATTTATCCGGAAAATCGTTGAAATTTTGAAATTTAAATTGATTCACCATTCCTAGGGATTTCAGGAGACATGCCCCGAAGCATTTTATTTTATCATCAGGTACGACCTGTTGACCTCTCAACATCATCAGCAATTTTCCCAAGTCCGCGCCGGTTTGAGTGAGACAAGTAATTGCTGTGCTCTGTACATCCTCGAAGAATCCTCCCAGAACCTGAAGAGTTTTCAATAAATTATGCGATAAATAAAATTGACTTATTGATTGATTAATTAATAAATTTAATTAAATTTTTTTCTTCCGATGGAAACGCCGGTATAAAGTCTTTCCGGTATTTCCGCCCGGAAAATTCTGGAAATGCAATTCTTGCAGGTGTATTGTTAATTTATTAACAGAAATAATTAACTAATTACCACAGAGACCAATAGAGCACTGGATATTAAAAAAATCACTGAGCTTTTCATTTTCGATGGTTTGGAGGGACTGGAGAAAAATCTTCGCTGCGGTTTATATATTCCTCCGGAAAACTCAAATGCTCATTTTCCTATTCCCAGAATTAATTTTTAAATAATCCAGCAGAAAAACCAGACGTGTAATTTCGACTCTTGATAATTATGCAAATAATTTTTATTTGTACTCTCCATATTATTATCTGTACTGAGTAATGACTGAGTATTGAAAGAATTTCAATTAGTTTATGGTCAGTATGACCTTCGCAAAAATAATAAAAATTCAGTATTTTGCATTAACGAATGGAAATATTTTTTCTCAGAATCAAATTGCCTAGTTCGCAGATTAAAAATCATCATGTACATAAATATGATTTATAGAACATATTTTAATTGAAAAAAATATTTCATCAATTTTTTATTAACAATATTTTTATCGGTTTTATTATAATTATTGGGATGAATCATTTTGGTTTTTTGGGAAGAGAATTGAATGCGTACGCATGTGTGTATCAATATTTCTAATTTTGGCAGAAGTATAATCTCCGGTTTATCGATTTAGTGCATAAAACCTGAGGAAATACGCATGCGCATCGCTGGCAGAACGTCAACTCCTCCATTAACAAATTTTTCTGAATCTCTTCTAGAAGTCGCGACGCTCCTCTCATCTCTCGAAATTTAATCATTAATTATCCAATCGATAAATTCATCAATACTTCAATTCCTTTCGTAACACGTACCTCATTTACGCGTCTCAATTTGTTAATTAGTGTTTTTCCGCGGAATTGGGAGTGAGTTTGAATTTTTTCTTTTTTCAGGCTGTGCAATCCGTTTTTTAACAACGAGTGCAGATAATTGAAGAAAAAATGAATGTGAACCAATCGTGGATGGCGACAATTACTTTCAATATTCGTCAGGTCATACCGATATTTTTTAAATATTTCAATAATTTATAGATGATCTTTCAACCTGGAAAAATAATCTCGCAAAAATTCATTATATTAATATTATAATTATATTATATATTAATTAATTCATCGCGATTGAATAATCGGAATGAAATTCAAAATATATAACGCAAGTGAATATTTTGTTTCTATTCCTGGAATTGTTATAAACAATGTAAACTATCCCGGGTCATCTCGCAGGATTCAATTACTAAAGATTATTTTTACTGAGATTATTTATTTATCAGAAATTTATTTTCTGTTATCATTTATTCATATTTTCTTTGGAAATTTAATTTTGTTTATTTTTCGTACGATCTTTTGGGGGAATGACAACAATTTCGCGGATGTTAAATAATTATTTGAGCCATCAATTTTTCAAAAAAACTCATCATCTGAATTTTCAGTCAGCACTTAAACCCCTGACATGTTGCTGCTGCATCTCCCGAGAAACTGGAATTCAAATTCTAGGATTTCTAAGAATCGTAAGCAAAAGTTTTCATTAGTGATTACAACAATTGCGAGATTATCAATTATTATTATCTTTCCCAATATCTGTATTTATTTATTGACGATCTGTCAATTGATAACTTTTGCAATCACAAAAATTTCCATTTATCCAAAAGATTGACAAAATTTTTGATTAAAAAAATCGTCAATTCGTATTTATATTAACAATTTGTTATTGTTTAAATGTTATCTTATGGTTTATTTTTTGTCGTTTGACAGCTTCTTAAATATTTTATTTTTGATATTATATATTTGATCCTCAGCTCATGTGCATCAGTAGTTACATATCTTTCGAAAGAACTACAACAAAAATGGTATCCGCCATGCGTATTGAGGACGATAAGGTCAACGAACTAATTATTAATTTCATTAATTATCTCGACGTCGTGGCGATTGCAGCCATCATCGTAATTATAATGATAAGTTGTCTACTGATAATCGGAGTGCGACAGGTAATACTCATCGGTAAAAAAAAATCAATAAAAATTATTTAATACAATTAAACATGATAAATGGAAAAATAATCCATGAGACACTTGTCCGGGTGTAATTACGTGAATTGTTTAATAATTTTTATTGAATAATAAATAACGAAATCGTAAACTAGAGTGAGTGAATTTTTTTCGATGCCAGTTTTTACCCAATATCTCGGAATTGAACGGATATACCGAATTTTTTGTGAAAACATTTTTTATAGAGAAAAAAGAGAGCGACAAAAAAGGTCATTATGAGAATATCGTTATCTTCCTTCAATTCTGAGATATCGGTTAAAAACGACTTCGGTTTACGATTTCGCGAGAGAAATCGATAAATTTTTGACACAATTGATAATTTTGCAAAATTTTTTCAGAAAAATCCGTCGCTAATGTTTCCATGGATCTGCCTAGATGTATCAGCACTTGTATATTTTATTCCATTACCATTGACGATATTTGCATTCCCTGGAATATCTGGTGGCATAAAATTCGCACTTTTTCTCTTTTTACTACTGATGCTCTGTAAGTATTTATTTATTATTTGATAATACGATCAAACACATGAAAATATCAACACAGACAAACTCAACACAAACATCAAACAGACACTCGTTACAAAGCATTTCAATATACAATGATTCAATCATCAATAAATGTTTTTTTGTTGCATCCGAATGGAAGAGCTGTAATCATTCAATGTTTTATATGGATACAATAATTGAATAAAAAATCGCGGTATGCGATTTTTCTTCGATGTCTCAATGTATGTATGTATATTTATTCCTGCAGTAAATAGTAATTAATTGGATAAAACTGGAGGTTCAATTAATTTATTATAAAAAAAAGGGGGAGTCACACGATTTTTGGTAAATTCAAGTGAAAAAAATCTTGAAATAAATGGAAATAAATCTTTGACCTGAGGAGGACTGAAAACGGAATGAAGAACTTCCGAGGTTTTTATTTAAATTAATTACGACGTCTTAATTTAATTTTAGTGTTGATTTTGTAAGTGTCTTGATGTAGGTCGCACACAAAAAATGATAAAAATAATTTACACAATCTTATGCAAAATTTTGCATATAACGAAATGTTTATAAATGAATTTCAAACAAATTAATGGAATCCCTGAAAAATTGCGAGATAATAACAATTAAGTTAATCCAATAGTTAATAAAAATGCATGAAATTCCGTATTATGAGAATAGAAAAACAAAAATGAAGTTCGCCCGAGTCGAAATATCTCGAAACGCGTAGGACTAATTCCTCATTGGCCGAGTCGAACCGCCAAATTCAAATTCGGCGCACGGAGTGCGCAGTAGGTCGCGTAATTGATCATAAGTCATAAATTAAAAATCTCTTTTATCTAGTTAAACCTTAAATTGTCATCCATAAAATCCTCATAAGACTGTGTAAAATATTTTAATTGTCCGCTGTGTGTAGTTATGTGTTACTCGAATTGATGATTTGTTTATAAAAAAAATTAATTCATGGAGAATATTTCATGGAATATTTTAGTTATCGAATGCCACCTGTTCCTCGTTGTTTACGGATACTACGAGGATCTGCATTTCCAGAAATCTCAAATTCAAGGGAATGTCCATGAGACTTACACACCTGCAGGTATAAATTAAATATAAATTTTCCTCTCCGTCACTTTTAATTGTTCTTATTAAATCATTTACACGTGCACCCCAAATTGACTGATTGAATTATATTTAAAATTTAATTACGTTTTGCCGCGTAATATAATCATTTTATTACGCGGGAAAACGATTATGCTAGCGATTGCAGCGCCACCAGCGGCGCTAGTGATTTCCCCGGGACTAATGAATAACTTGATGATAATTAATGAAAGATTGAAATTAATTTCAGATAATGTGAACAATATAAATGAGTACAACGGACCTAGTGTACAAGCTTGGCAGGTGTAAGTCAATTATTGAGGGATTTTCCTCTTTATTTAAATAAAAATAAATCAAAATGCAAATTAAATAATTGCTTACGCTTTATGCAATGTTGTAAGAGGAATAAACAAATGGATCACCACTACGAACATAATTGACGTAATGAATACACAATAATTAATTACTGGAATTGTTTATCAAATTGTTTACAGGCGAGAAGTGAGTGAGACTTAAAAATCATGAGTCGGATCAAATGAATAATTTCAAAATTATTGTTCCGCTCATTGTTATTGTTATATTATTCATCAGTGTCTCACTCGTAATTGTAATCTCAATGTCCAATTATCGCCGGGTAATATTCTCTGTACAAGTGTCATTGAAAATACAAATTAATGATAATATAATTAAATATTGTTATTAAATCTGGAATTTAATTCTCTCCCTTTTTCGTTTCACTCATTATTTATTATTTGTTATTAATTATTAATCCGATTATTGAATCGGGGAAAAGGAAGAAATAATTAAAAGCGGAATGGTAAGTTCAAATAATTATTTTTATTAACAAAAATCAAGAACAATCGGGCATTGATAATATTTTATTCATATATTGGTGATATTATTTATGATTATCGCATAATTACAGTAATTTTTATTCATTATATTTTTAATAATTGATTATTATTCGCATTTATATATCTCACAGCACTCGGGATAGACTTTCGAGTGATCGTAGGGTGTAAAAGAGAATTTCTTAGGAGGCAGGCAATTTATCATTGGTATAGCACAGCTGTAAATAAACATTAACATTTTTTTAATTAACGATGATTAAGCATTTTAATTTACGCAGGTACTTACGGCGTAATTAAAACATCTGGTCCTGTACAATCTATGACATGACAGCCGTCCATTTCTCTCGTGATGTCGCGATTGCTGCAGTCTCCCTCTGAATAATAATTAAAATATTGAAAAAACAATAACAATTGAAATTGCAATTATCCTGAAATCCATATAAATAACCGCAAATATTCATAAAAAATTGGTATTTTTATTCATTATATAAAAATCAATAAAAAATCATAAGTCTCATGTATTATTTAAAAATTAAATAAACAAAATATTTATTTATTACCAGAGTCTCTTCTGGTTTAACACTTGATGGTTTATTTCTGCTGAAATTATTGCGAATGAATTCTGAATTTTTGGTTAATATAAAAAATTGGGTGCGTTAAATAATTTCGGGCTTACCAATCTTCGGGATTTGGAGAGATGGTTGTAATAAACACAGAAAGACTCCTAAAATAATTACAATATTCATGATTACTTATTGCGGATCTTTGGATGTTATTTGCAAAACGTAGATTGATACTAGACAGCAAGGCGTTATCGTATCGTAATATACCCCGTCAATTAAAAAAAAATCGGCAATCGGGAATGACCTCGAATAGATAACGGATTTGTTGTTGCTAAAAGTTTATAATAAATCTGCATCAAAATCAAATCTAGCCTGGGCAATAGGTCAAATTTTTCAAGGGCGTTTTTAAAAGATAGATTATCGCACGATCATTATTAAAAAATTTAACTGATTATATAATAGTCAAAGTATTGATTTTCCACTTAAATATGTACTGTATATATTTTTTAAACATTTTCCCATCGAAATGCTTTTGGAAAATGATAAATATTAGTAATAATGATGAATTTAATTAATTTCTTCAATTCTTTCATTTATTTATAATTGATTTTTTTATTATTGGGGAATCTCATCAATTAATTAATTGGGAGAAGATTAATCGGGGGAGCATGAAAATGGAGGAGATATTCACTGGAATTGAAAAATTCAAAATTTTCAAAAAATATCAGGGGGGCATGACAATAGTGGAGGTATTCACGGAAATTTGAAAATTCAAAATTTTTGAAAAAGTATCAGGGGAGCATGACAATAGAGGAGGTATTCACGGAAATTTGAAAATTCAAAATTTTGGAAAAATTATCGGGAGAGCATGACAATTGAGGAGGTGTTCACTGAAATTGAAAAATTTTAAATTTTTGAAAAAATATCAGGGGAGCATGACAATAGAGAAGGTATTCACGGAAAT